GCTGGATGAGGCAGGACTGGAAGGCAGAAGCAGCAGCAGTGGCGGGGGCAGAAGCAGCGGCGGGGGCAGTGGCGGCGGGGGCAGAGGCAGCAGCGGTGGCGGGGGCAGAAGCGGAGGCAGCGGGGGCAGAAGCGGCAGCGACGGCAGGGGCAGAAGCGGCGGGGGCAGAAGCGGCAGCGATGGCGGTGGTGGCAACAGCAGGAGGTGGCGCTCTGACGGCGCCTGCTTTTTCTGTTGCTGCTTGGCCTGGCGCTCGCCTCACCCTGCCTCGCGCCTGCTTCTCCTCCTCCTCCTCGCTGGCTCTGGCACGAAGGTTGGGGTGGGCACTGGGCCGCATTACAAGGTGACCTGGGCCGCATGCGGCCCTTGGGCCGCAGGTTGGACAAGCCTGATTTAAATCAAGTTGATTTAAATCAAGCCTTTTTACTAGTGATTTAAATGGTGATTTAAATCAAAGCCACCCTGCCATCATTGTAATGGTGATCACAAAGGTTGTGTGAGAGATGTGTTGTAAATCTCATCCCCACCTCCAATTCTGGGAGGACAAAGAATAAATAAAAGTGCAAAGGACATTTTAGGGCAATTTTTTTTTTTCCAATGTGGCAACTTTTAAAATGTGTGGACTTCAACTCCCAGAATTTCTCGATCAGCATGTTGGCTGAGGAAACTCTGTAACTTGAAACCCACACATATTATAAAGTTCCCGAGTTTAAAAAAAAAACAAAACAATGATTTTTTTAGAACAAACAAAATGTTTCTTCCTTTTTTTTTATTTTCACACTTTTAAAAGCTCTTTTGAAAGCATTATTGTTGTTGTTTTCATTGACAACGTATCCATCACAATTATCTTTGTGTTTTGTTCTTCTGCTTTTTCTATTTCTAGGATAGAAAGCAGGAGGTCTTGAGTTCGAGTTTCGGTCTCAGCTATGAAAGCCAGCTGGATGACTTTGGGCAGGGGACAGGGAGTTCTAGTCCCGCCTTAGGCATGAAAGACAGTTGAGTGATTTTTGGACCAGGGCCAAAGGGTCACAGCTCATACCCCCTCACAAGGTTGTCGTTGTGGTGGGGAGGAAGAAAGCGTGTGGGATATGTTCATCACCTTGAGTCCTTTGTAAAAATAATAAATAAATATAGTATTTATTAAATAAATAAATATAAATAAATTATAAATAAATATATTTAAAGCAAAAGGAAAAAAATACGTTCGTCAAGTGTCAAAAATTGACAGCCCAAGCTTCTTTTCACTATTAATTTCTCAGATTCTTAAGTTTTCCTTTACTTTCCTAAATCTAGCAACTCCTGCGAAGCTAGAAGAAGATGTCATGGCTATTTTATTTTACGAGATGCACCATATCAGAAAACCTCTTTCCAGCACATCAAGGTCCCTTTCAAATCAAAGCAACTACTTGCTACTCAAGTCTTTCCCTTCTTCCCTTCTGCATTTCGGGCACTGAGCCCCACAACTAAATCAAAAACATAGCCAAGCGAAGAAAACCAAGTGAAGTTTAGAACAAAAGACAACAAGATGGCAGCCATCACAGGCTTCCGTGATCCACACCCATCAGAACTGCTGGGGAAAAATAGATTTTTATTGTTTTGGAATAGTTTAAGGCCATCTTGTGAAGTTTAGGCAGTTTTAAAACGCAATAAACATTGGAGAATAAACAAAGAGAACCCCCCTCCCATTTCCTTATACAATCAACAGAAATAGGAATTTTAAAAAACGGAATTCAATTCAATTCTTATTATTCTTCCAACCAGATCTGTTCCCCCGGCACAGGCATTACAAGGGAGTCAAAGGTTTCTTTTGACTTCCTAGATTATTTGTAAGAATAATAAAGGCAGAAATAAGATTATACCAGGCCACAGAAAGGGAAGGAAGAAGCCTCCGCTCAACTCCTTAAGACTACAACACCCATCTTCCTGCAAACCACCGAGCTAACCCAGGACAGACCCAGGAGAGCAAATTTAATTTCCTAGATTATTTGTTTAAAAAATAATTAAAGGTGATTTATCCGTAAATAAGATTATACAAGGCTACAGAAAGGGAGGTAAGAAGTCTCATCTGATCTCAACATTATAACCCCCGTCTTCCGGCAATCTGCTGTGCTAACCCGGGACAGTCTCGGGAAAGGCAAATTTAATTTCCTAGATTATTGGTGAAAAAAATAATAATAAAAGCAAGATATAACCGAAGTAAGATTATACAAGGCCACAGAAAGAGAAGTAAGAAGTCTGCGCCGATCTCCTTATGGTTCCAAGTTCTGTCTTCCCGCAAACCTCTGGGCTAACCCGGGACAGACCCAGGAGAGGCAAACCCACCTTCAACTCCGCAAAGTCCCTGCGAGTTTCGGGGTCCAGACCCTTCTCTCCTTCTCACCCCCATCCCACCCACCCACGGGCTGGGCTAGAAGCTCCTGAAGAAATGCAACCAACAATAGAAAGGGGGCGCGGGGGGGGGGAACCCATCTTAAGCACAGCAACTTCTCAAGTCACCCGTTTCTAACCCGGGTCAGAAAGGAGACAGGACAGGAGAACCAGCGGCCGGAGCGCCGAAATTCGCAATTGCGAGAAGCAGAAAAGAGGCTCTTACTTTCCGTGGCTTCCGTGGGAACGGAGACCCACACCAATACGACGCACCAGAGGAAAAGCTCTTTGAAAGCCATCGTTGTCGTTGTTGGTTGGCGTTGCTTTTATTGCAGCCGCACAAGAACCGTCCGCGCACCTCAGCCCACAACAGCAAAGTGACTTGCGGAGCTGGGGAACTACGCCTGAAAAAAAAAGCGGGGGGGAAAGAATCTGTGTCTGGTCCAATCAAAAAATCGAACGGGCCGTGTCGTCACTGGTAGCTAGGCACGAGGCTTCCCGCCGACGTCTGCTCAAGCGGTTCGGGACTTTCCAACGCACGCGCACTTCTGCCCGAGGCGGCTTCCACTTTCGTTTTCTCGCTGCTGGGAAGGCGAGGCTGATTTCTGAGAAACGCTGCTCGGCTATCAACAAGGGGGGGAACGTGGGAAGGGGGGTGCGGATCGCGCTGGAAGACCCGAAAGGGGGTTGCAGCAGTTGGTACGGGCCAATGGAGGGAAAAGATCCCGGGTGTGTGTCCCAAAGGTGCTTTCTTTCTTTCTTTTTGCTTTGAGGCAAGTGGACTTTCTGGGTTTTCTTTGAAGGCGTTTCGCTTCTCATCCAAGGAGCTTCTTCAGCTTCTTCCCCACCGTCCAGCCGGAGCTGAAGAAGCTTCTTGGACGAGAAGCAAAACGCCTTCAAAGAAAACGTTGGAAACTCATCCAAGGAGACAGAAGCAACCCAGAACTAAAGAGAAATTTTCTGACAGGGAGAGCAATTCGAATGACTTCCCTCAGTGCTCCATCACTGGAGGTTTTTAAGAAGAGACTGGATATCTGTTTGTCTGAATTGATATAGTGTGTCTTGCTTGAGCAGTGGGTTGGACTAGAAGACCTCCAAAGGTCCCTTCCAGCTGTTACTCTATTCTATTCCTAATTCTATTTTCTATTCTATCATTTCAATATTCTATTCTCTATTTTCTATTCTATATTCTATTCCATTCATTTCTATTTTATCCTATCTTATTAATTATATTCTATTCATTTCCATCCTATCTATTCTATTCCGTTCATTTCTATCCATTGCTATTCTGTTTTATCCTAACCCATTAATGATATTCTATTCATTTCTGTCCTATCCTGTTCTATATTTTATTCTATATCTATTCTATTCTTAACCAGAAAGTCCACTTGCCTCTTGGGAAAAAAAGAAAAGAAACATCTTTGGAAGAACCATGACCTGGATGTGACTGAGAATCTCCATAGACATCTCGGATGTTGTTCCAGAAAAAAAATATGGTGGAATCGCTGCAGTTGATTGACTTCGTTAGGGCCCAGTTCCTTTTTAATCTGTTGGCAGATTCTTTTCATCTGGAGAGCTCGGGGATTTCCTAGAATAAATGTATAACCCTGATTTTTGCTCTCTGACAAACTGGTTTGAGCCTGTTTGGCTGCAATAGCCGTTTCAAAAGCAGCTTTAAATATATATAACGTTTGTGAAAGTTATCTGAGTTCATAATTCTAAACAGAGGCCGGTGTATCCCAAAGCTGCATAATCTGGGTTTTGGTTATTTTCCATGCATCATCTGACATCCAAATGCACAAAATACAAGAGGCTCTTGACTTAAAACCACAACGGGGAGAGGACTTTTTACTATACTAAGCAAGATGGTTGTTGAAATGAGTTGTGTCTAACTTTACAACTTCTTATGCCATTGTGAGAAAGTGTCCTTTTTATGACTCAAATCTCATGTTGAAAGATAGATTATGTCCTTGGAGTAAGGGAGTGCAGTACCAGGCATAGGCCTTTGAAGCGCTGGGAATTATCACACTTTTTGGAATGTCTTTGAAATGCCAGATACCGGGTAAGAAAGTGTTTGTTATGTGCTGGGTACCAAAAAGATAATAAAATGTAACTTGTATCCTGAAAGATGTATTGTAAATCAAGCCATTTGTATACTGTGTGTGTGTGTGTGTGTGTGTGTGTGTGTAGTTTTAGAGTATAAAAGTAGAGCGAAAGCTATGCTTTTGGTTCCTCCCAGCTGCCAAGGGTGGAACCCATCTGCAGATGTATATCCAATAAAGCCTTTTTCCTTGGATCAACTTTGAATCCTGGTGGTTTTTCTTTAGCCACAATCTCACAATTTGGGGGCTCGTCCGGGATCCTCGACGGTGGTCGACTGGAAAGCGGGGACCAGGTAAGAGAGTGGCCACAACCTCCCATTGAGAGGCACCTCTCCCCGAATTCGGTCAGACTCCCGAGGTGACTTTGAATCCAGACGGTCCTTGGAAAAAGAACTGAGACGAAATGCCGGCTGAGAGTTTGTGAAATCGATCTGAGTTGGGGACGCCCACACATCCTTTGACTGCGGAGAGTCCAGGAGTGATCAGATCAGGTAAACTTTGTTCCTTTCATTTGTAGCCCAAAAGAGAAAGATCCTTAAACTCCCTGGGGGAATCCAGCGCCTGCTGGAGGATCGGGACTATGAGACTGGAAGAAAGAGGTCCTTAAACTCTCTGGGAGAATCCAGCGCTTGCTGGAGGACTGGGACTGGTGAGTCAAGGCTCTGGGAGCCTGAAAGAATAGAGATGGGAAAGGGACAAAGTGAGGGTCTTGGAGACCTGGAAGAAGCCTGTCTGGGACAGGGAAGATTTGACAATGGCAGAAAACCTATTCCGGTAGATTCGCCCCTGGGACAACTACTTAAGCAGTGGTTCTCCCCGAATCTGAAGGAATTCACCAGACGTCTCGAAAAGAAAAACATGATTTATCTTTGTCGAGATAGATGGCCAAAATATCCTCTGATTGATCCTAAATTTCCATATCACTGGAGTCCTGAGGGGGAAACCAGTACCTATTGGATGACCCAATTGCGAGACTATATTCTCCAACACAAAATGACCACCCAAATTGCATGTGAAATTTGCAACAGGAGGGCAATGAAAGCGAGATGGATGATTGGCTTCAGAGTCCGCCACCCTCAAATCCTAACTTGAACAATGTTCCAGCGGCCCCGCCATTGCCGGCGCCACAACCCCCTCCTCAGCCGCCTTATCCGTGGCTGAGAAAAGAAGTGGAACAGTTGAGAAGAGATGTTCAAAATTTTCCCTTCAGCCAAAACCTGAAGTGGATGCATTTCCTCTTAGGGAAATCCCTAATGGGATCAATGCTGCAGGCAATCCGGTGACAGTCTTTGTGGCTGTCCCCATAAAACTAGCCGAGTTGCGAGAATTGAAGAAGACTCTTCCAAAGCTTCATGAAAATGCTCATGAGGTGGCTGAACAGTTAGAGCTATGGTTGGGTCCGAATGATTACACTTATCAGGAGCTGATGTACATTTTGGGACATCTATTTACTCCTGAGGAGCGGAATCTCATCCAGACCTCAGCCTGGAGTGTGTGGAATGAAAGAGTGAATGGGCAACAAGGGGCAGTGGCAGGAGATCAAAAATTCCCCATAGAAAATTCAGAAAATGGATAATTGGGGAGCTGTGGGAATGGTTGATCTCCTGAAAGCAGCCCAACAAGTTTTTGTGAACAGAGACACTGTAAAAAACCCAGACAGAAATCACAAATGATGGTTGCAGCTGTACAGGCTGCAACAAAGAGCGAAGTAAAGAAAAGTGGGAATTTTGGGAAGGGTCCAATTGGAGAAAGAAGAGAGAATTTTTGGGGATACAATCAGGGAGGTTTTCGAGGTAGAGGAAGAGGTTCCAGAGGAAGAGGCATGGGAATGAGACAGCCTGGAATGGATAGGAGTTGCTTCAGGTGTGGGAAGGAAGGTCACTTTGCGCGCGAGTGTCCTACCAACCAAGAAGAGCGGAGTTATGCATTGTATGATGATTAGGGCTGTTCTGGCTCCTTTAAGAGGACCTGCGGGGAGCCATTGGTAAACATTTTAGTGGGTCCTAACCGTCAGGAGCGGCTGTTCCTGATAGACACCGGCACAAGCCGGACTTCTGTGTGTGACCTGGTAGAAGGTGCACATAGATCAAGGAAAGTGATAAAAGTAGTTGGGGTGAGTGGAAAATCGCAGGATGTGAGTATGTTTGAACAAATTAGACTGGAAATGAATGAAGTGGTGACTGAAGCTGAAGTGTTGTATATTCCTGATTCTGGAGTGAATTTGCGGGGGAGAGATTTGTTGCCTGTGTTTGGTATCCAGCTGTGGGATACTGGGAAGGGAATAAGGATGATTAGTTAATGATTTGAGGAGGATCTCCTGATCCCTATACTATCTTGGGACGAATTCCTCCCAAAGACTGTGATAGATCTGAAGGATGCCTTCTGGGCATGCCCCCTCGAGGAGGGAAGTAGAGACCTGTTTGCATTTGAATGGAATGATCCTGAGACTGGGAGAAAACAGCAGTTAAGGTGGACAGTACTTCCCCAGGGCTATACTGAGAGCCCTTTGTTGTTTGGACAGGCTTTGGAAGAAAAGTTAGTGTCTTTTGAGAAAGGGAAAGGGATCGTGTTGATTCAGTATGTGGATGACTTGTTGTTGACTGGGGAGAAAGAGAAAGAGGTTAGAGCAGCATCTGTGGCTTTGTTAAATTGGCTGAAAGAGCAAGGATTGACAGTTTCAAGGGAAAAGATCCAGTTTGTGGAAAGGAAGGTGAAATATTTGGGGCATTATATTCAGCAGGGGGTGAGGTCCTTGGATCCTGAGAGGGTGAAAGGGATCATGAGCCTGGCTCCCCCCAGAAATAAGACAGAGGTCAGGAAGGCCCTTGGATTGTTGGGGTATTGCAGAGTCTGGGTGGACCAGTACACTGTGTTAGCTCAATTCCTGCACAGGAAGCTGGTAGGAAAAGGAGAAAGTATAGAATGGTTAGAGGGAGATGATGAAAAATGGGAAGGTTTAAAGAAGGCACTGTCATCCGCACCGGTTTTGGCTTTGCCCAATTTAGAGCTCCCATTTCATCTGTATGTGTCAGCAGCCCAGGGAACGGCACTAGGAGTGTTGGCGCAGAAGAGGGGGGGGCAATACCAGCCCATTGCCTTTCTGAGCAAAACTCTGGAGAAGGGAGAAGACAGGAGTGGGAAGCTGAGGATCATGATTGTTTGTTGCAAGTAGATTTGATGACAAAAGTGAGGGAGGATCTGGAAGAGACTCCTTTGAAAGATGGGGAAAGGTGGTTTGTGGATGGATCAAGCAGGGTTGAGGAAGGAAAAAGGAAGTCAGGATTTGCAGTCGTGACAGGA